CTCTGTATTTAAGAGTCTCTTATGGTTTGCCTCCCTCTCTGTTTTTACCTTATCTTTTCTTTCCTTCCCTATGTTCATCTGTTGAGTTTCTCAAATTCCACATATGAGTGAAATCATATATGTCTTTCTCTAACTGACTTCTTTCACTTAGCATAATACCCTCTAGTTCCATCCACTTTGTTGCAAATGGCAAGATTTCATTCTTTTTCATCACCACGTAGTATTCCATTATATATATATTACATCTTCTTTACCCATTCATCAGTTGATGGACATTTGGGTTCTTTCCATTTTCCATAATTTGGCTATTGTCAATAGTGGTGCTATAAATGTTGGGGTGCACGGGCCCCTTTGAATCAGCATTTTTGTATCCTTTGGGTTAATACCTCAAAATTCATCAAATTGTATACTTTATTTTTAAAAAATTGTTTTATATTTATTCATTTTTGAAAGACAGAGAGAGACAGAGCACAAGCAGGGGTGGGGCAGAGGAGGGGGTGGGGACACAGAATCTGAAGCAGGCTCCAGGCTCTGAGCTGTCAGCACAGAGCCTGACGTGGGGCTCAAACTCACGAACCATGAGATCGTGACCTGAGCCGCAGTCGGACGCTCAACCGACTGAGCCACCCAGGTGTCCCCCAAATTGTATACTTTAAAAGTGTTCAGTTGACTGAATGTCAATTATACCTCAATAAAGCCTTAAAAAAGGAAAACAGAATATCTGTCCAAGTATTTTTTTTTTTTTAAAGAAAAAAGTTGGGTAAGGGGCACCTGGGTGGCTCAGTCGGCTGAGTGTCCGACTTTGGCTCAGGCCATTATCTCACAGTTCATGGGTTGGAGCCCCTCGTGGGGCTTTGTGCTGATAGTGCTGAGCCTGCTTCGGGTTCTCTATCTTCCTCTCAACCCCTCTCTGCTTGTGCTCTCTCTCTCCCCAAAATAAATAAACGTTTTTAAAAGTTGGATAAATAATCAGGGTTAAAAACAGTTCATTTTCACCAGTAATGGGTTTTTGGCTTTAGAATGTAAATAAGATTTACTGGGTTCATGTAAATAGTGAAAGAATGAATCATTGCAGACACTGAGCTAGTAGAAGTCTGGGTACATCAAGAACCTTTTTGTCAAGGTGTGAAGGCTTAAAATAATTGCTGAAACACAAAGATGTTTCTGTGCCCACCACTCCCTCAAACTCTGGGCCCCTAGTGTTAGAGCACACAAACAGACACAAGAATGAGCCTTTGCCAGTTCCCAAATACAATGCATGGGTTTGTAGTGGGGAAAGGGAACTAAAGTGAACTTGTGAGTAGAGCTTCTGAGCCAGTTCAATGCACCACTGTTGTTGCTCCCACTGCTGACTGTGTAACTGACATGGGTGTTGTACATCCTGTACTGAGAATGCTCCTGTGTGTTCAGGGACTTGCACACATATGTAAGTGATCTCTGGCTGGCTCAACAGAAACAACAGAGAATCCCAGGGGCAGGAGAAACCACAGCTCCAAAGACCTAACATCTGTCAGAGAACTCAGAATGGACAAGGTCAGTGGGACAGAAAGGAAAGCCCTGGAATGAGAGCTGGACTTCAAGAACTGGTTCATCTTCCAAAGCTAAGTTTGACAGTGAAAAGAAATCATAATAGATGCTACATGTTGTGCAGTTACTATCTCCCAGACACAGATCTGGCTCCATATGACCATTATGTCCTGTAAGAGAATAACTTCTAAGGCTTAAAAATGATTATTTACAGAAGATGGCAATATGTATTTGTTTTAACCTGAAATCAAGTAAATTCATTTTCTATTTCTGCAACTGGGTATATCTTTTTTCAAATCAAACACTTATGATTAAAACATACCAGATTAATAAAAAATATTTTCAGTATAGATTCAGCTTTAAAACAGGTGGTAACAGAAATCCAACAAAATGTGGACATTTCAAAAGAGATACCTCTTCACAGTAGCTATTAGAACATTCAAAAGTTTTCTCACCTATCAGCCTCCCACCACACAAAATCCTCTCCCATAGAATTGGAATCTCTAAGCTCAAACACTCGTTTACCCAAAAAATTCTGTCCCATGAATTCATTATCCTACAAATTCTCCCTCGGGCTTATTCTTCTCGGTCACATATGGCCCTAAGGAGCCTGGGCCCTTGAATCATCCAAGGTCAGGGTGAAGAGTGGGACTTGCTTCCCCCTATGAGCAGCTCCGGATGCCTAAGCTGAGCCCAACTTTATCCCAGCTCTCCAAGAGCACCCTGGATTCACCATTCCTGCATTTTAAGGCTCTGAGACCTCCTTAAGATCTATGATCTCCTTAAGATTTATAAATGCCTAAGTCTCATCCCACCTTTCTCTCTTCCTCCCTGGAGAGAGGCTCACCCTAAGGCCCAGCAGAAGCCACATGGGAGGGCTTTAATTCCCATCTCTCACCCCAAGGTCTAGAAAGAGGTATCATTGAGGTCAGGGTATGAAAGGCGCTCTCACGAGGTGGAAAGTAGGAGCAGAGGCAGGGGAGGTGGGCATGATGATGGAAGCAGCAGCAGAAAACCAGGACCCCTGGGGGCACCTGGGTGGCTCAGTAGGTTGAGCGTCTGACTCCTTTTTTTTTTTTTAATTTAACAAATTTTTAAATTTATTTTAGATAGAAAGAGTAGGGGAGAGGCAGAAAAGAGTAGAGAGGGGCAGAGAGAGAGACAGACAGACAGACTCTGAAGAAGACTCCAGGCTCTGAGCTGTCAGCACAGAGCCTGACGTGGGGCTCCAACTCATGAACTGCAAGATCATGACCTGAGCCGAAGTTGGACACTTAACCAACTGAGTCACCCAAGCGCCCCAAGTTTCCGGTTCTTGATTTTGGCTTAGGTCATGATCTCACGGTTCATGGATTTGAGCCCCACATCAGACTCTGCGCTGATGGTGTAGAGCCTGCTTGGGATTCTCTCTCTCGCTGTCTCTCTGCCTCTGTCTGTCTCTCTCAAAATAAATAAACTTAAAAAAGGAAAGGAAAAGAAAGGAGAGGAAAGGAAAGGAAAGGAAAGGAAAGGAAAGGAAAGAAAACCAGGACCCCTGGGTTGAGTTGAGAGTGCACTCCTACAAAGCCTCATGGGAAAATGGCCTCTAAAGGCAGATCTGTTAACACATTAAAACTGTGCAAAGGTAGGATGGTGTAATGGGAGTGTCTCTATTACCCAGGGAGGCAGAGGGTAGGGAATCAGTCACAGCAACGTGAGCTGACCTTGGAAGGTTCTATCCTCATCCCCATGAAGTCAGGAAAGGGGCAGACACAGCAAGTAGCTCCTCCAGTGCCCTCTCTGCACACCCCCAAAAACACTCTTCCCCACAGTCCCAGCCTGCAGGCACTTCAACATTAAAAGAAAATTTGGGAAACAAACGAAGGAGTCTGTACTGAGAGGCGAAGCTAAGAAAAAAAAAAGGGGGGGGATGAAGCATTTGTGGGGCTAAATAAAACTTCCCCAAAAGGGGCAGAACCAGAGAACCTTAGGGGCATGTTTGAAGGATGAAGCCAGCAGGAACACAGGAACTGAACACTGGTCTCAGTTTTACTCAGCAGGCCCTACAGGTTTTGAATCTGGGATCTCTTAACATCCGTCAGAAACCAGCCATTTGCCCCTACAGCAAAACTTCAGCCATTCCTCCCTAGGCAGGACATTCTATGAACCCCAACTGTCCTCGGAGTGTTTGCCTCCTTTTCCCATCCTTTCCTCCACCCACAACCCTTTGTTCTGAAGATCTCACAACACCTTAAGCCTGTCATTGTGGAGACTGTGCCATCCTAGACCCGATCTCAATCCCTTTTCCACGAAGGAAGACAAAGGAGGGAGCGACTTCTGACTGAAGACTCCTGAAGCTATCTGCCCCGGCCTGGACAGAGGTCTCCTCTGCACCTCTCCCGTGATTCCCAAATCTGACAGTGGTCTCACTAAGCCAGGCCCGTGTAGTATCTCTACAACATCTGTGTGGATTTGATTATTTTTTACAGTTTTTATTTGATTTTGAGAGAGAGAGAGCGTGTGTGTGAGGGAAGGGAAAGAGAGACAGGGAGAGAGAGAATCCCAAGCAGGCTCCTCTCTGACAGCATGGAGCCTGATGCAAGGCTCTAACTCACAAACCATGATAGCATGATGCAAGCTGAAGTCAGATGCTTAACCAATTGAGCCACCCAGGCACCCTGTGTGGATTTTAATAGAAAACAAATATTTTTTCTTTCCATCATGTTGGCCAAGAAGGGAGTGAGACAAATCAGGAATCTGGGCCATCTGGGCCCTGGGGATGTAAGACAGGTGAGAGTGGCTTTAGCAGCATAGTGAGGACGAATGTGGGTGGGTGGCTAAAAGGCTGGGCACTGAGATTGGGGGATGGGGGTATTTCTGAGGGGCTGTGCTTGAAAGCCTCAAAACCTGGTATTATCAGACTGGTGGTGGGCATGGCTGGTAATCTTACACCTGCCAGGAGAGGGCCAAAGCAGCATAGTTATGAGGTGTAAGTCCTGAGACTAAAGAACTTTTGGGGGGTGGTTAAAGGGACCTGGGCTTGGGATTAGAGGGTAGAAGGAAGACAAGGCTGCGGAGTCCCTCAGATTGCAGGGTTAGAGACCCAACCTTGAGCAATACCTAAAGGTGAGGGTAGAAGAGGATACAGCAGGTTAGGAACATAGAAAAAAAGAAAACAGGAGAGCATGGCAGAAGTCAATGGAAGTCAATGGACTTGCAGAAGGAAGTAAGAAGTCATCAATCAGGTGCAAAGACCGCTTCCCCAAGAGGACCATAGCTCGGTACCTCTCTTCTCAGAAGCTGGGCCTCTGCCATCTTCACGCTCACAGAGGGCATAAGGGGTCAGAAGACTGTCCCTGAAGCCCACTCATGTACGGTGGACAGATTTGACTCTCAGTGTTTCTTTTTTTTTTAATTCCTTTTTTAAAGTTTATTTATTTAGAGAGAGAGAGCATGCACGCAAACTGTCAGCACAGAGCCTGACGCGGGGCTCGATCTCATGAACTGAGAGATCATGACCTGAGCTGAAATCAAGAGCCAGGTGTTTAACCCACTAAACCACCCAGGCTCCTGAGTCTCAGTGTTTCTTAAGAGGCCACCTCCAGCTAACACTATACCCTCACTCCCTGTACATAAGATTTCTCCCTGAGCATATCCTCTGCTGTGTAATGAGGAGTGATACCCAGCTAACGCCTAGCCCACATTCCCTTACAATCAAGACTTCTCCCCTGTGTGTGTCCTCTGGTGTGTCTGATGGATAACTTGTTGCTAGGTCACACCCTTGCTCCTTGTACACCTAAGGCCTTTCCCTTGAGTGTGTCCTTTGATGTGTGCTGAGAGTAGACTTGTGGCTAAAGCCTTGCCCACACACCATGCACTTGTAAGGCTCCTCTCCTGTGTGTGTCCTCTGCTGTGTGCTGAGGACTGTCTTGTGGCTAAAAGCTCACACACACACACAAGTCTCCTCCCCAGGATGCATCTTCTGGTGGGTGATGAGGTATGATTTCACCCTAAAGCCACAGCCACAGTTCCTGCACACATAAGGCTTATCTCCTGTGTGAATCCTCTGGTGCTTCATGAGGTCTGATTTTTCCGTAATGCCTCACCTATACACTGTGCACACATTCTCCCTTGTGTGTGTTCTCTGGTGTCTGATGACATGTGACTTGCAGCTAAAAGCTTGCCCACACTCCCCGCACCCATGAGGCTTTTCCCCTGTGTGTGTCCTCTCATGTCTGATGAAATGTGACTTCCCACCGAAGCCTCGCCCACACTCCCTGCACACGCGTGTTTCCCCTGTGACTGCCTTGTGTCTGAGTAAGTTTGTCTTCTGGCTGAAATCTAGTCCACGCTCTCCAAACTCCACTGCTCCAAATCCTCAGGCTTCTACCCTCTCAAGAACCTTGTGCGCTTTCCCAGAGCATGTCCTAGGGGCTGGCCTGAGTTGTACCTTCAACACTCAATTGCCTGTCTGGGAGCTGGGGTGAACTAGGGGAGTCCCCCTCTCAGTTATACTCCCAGACAAGGATTTAGAATCTCCCCTTGCTTGATTGTCTGCTTTGGCCCCCCGGTTGGTTTTCATCAGAATGCTGTTGCTGCCGCTGCTGATACTCTGGGCAAGAATCTCCTGGTCGGAGTGGATTTACTGAGTGCAAATCTGGAATAGGACGACTGCGCAGCTCATGTTGACTAAGAAATTGCTGCTCGTCAAAGGCCAGAGGGCAGGAGGGCCAGGGATGGACTTCTGGATTTGATTCTGCTGAAGAAAGGAAGTTCCCAAAGTATTCACAGGAAAAGTTCACTGGGTTCTTCTTCCTTGTCTTACAGTTAAGATCTAGCCCGTCAATCGTTCACAATGACTCATGTCTGTCTCCCCAAGATGTGCTTTACAGGACCTACGTTTCCATTCACCTTCTTTAAACTTTTTATTTGGATACAATTTCAAATGTACAGAATAGTTGCAAGATTAAGAACAATACAAAGAAAACATCTAAGCACCCTCTACCCAAATTACCTATTGTTAACATGTATATGTTATATGTGTGTGTGTGTACATGCATATGTATGTATATGTTTTCTCTGAGCCACTTGAGAGTATACAGCATACATCATGACTCTTTACCCCTAAATACTTTGGTGTGGATTTCATAAAAGTAGGGATATTCTCGGGGTATCTGGGTGGCTCAGTCACTTAAGCATCTGCCTTCAGCTCAGGTCATGATCTCACAGTTTGTGGGTTCGAGCCCCACATTGGGCTCTCTGCTGACAGCTCCGAGCCTGGAGCCTGGTTCAGATTCTGTGTCTCCCTCTCTCTCTGCTCCTCTCCCACTTGTACTCTCTTTCAAAAATAAATAAACATTACATTTTTTTTAATTTAAAAATAAGTAGGGAGATTCTTTCATAACTGCAATATAGTTATCAACTTCAATAGATTTGACATTTATGTTATAACTGTATCTAACTCCCATATATATTCCAATCCTGTCATTTGAACCAATAATGTCCTTTATAGCACTTTGCCTGAAGTACAGGATCCAGTCTAGGATCAGGTATTATTAGTAGTTATTATGTTTCTTTAGTTTCCTTCCCCTATTTTTAGAGAACACTCTCATGTTCTAGAATACATGAAGAGCATTCCTGATGTTCTTCCATAATTAGATTCAGATTATGCACTACATTCAAATTTTACATATCACATCTTTTACTAGAATGCAAAAAAAGAAAAAAAAAATCACAGCAGAGCCTATTGTTCACATTATCCCAACAAGGAATACTCCAAGTAAACATCAGGGGAATCTTCTGCTCTGTAAGTATCTGCAATTATACTAAAATTATCTTCTAGGCCATAGCCAGCTACACTGACACATATAGCTACAACCATTTGTTAGCATCAAGAGAGAACAATCGTTGTGATCTCTATGGGAATGTCCTTTGTGACTTTTCCTATGGGAAGAAAGAATAGTTGACGTAGGAATCACTCAGTCTGGATGTCCTCCAATGCAGAAGGCAGTATGGAACGGTTGTTAAAGAGCATATGTGAAAACTACATCTGAGTTTCCCCATCCATTCACAGATATCTGTTAGAGGACTAGTATGAATCAGCTTGTACCAGGAAGTGGAAGTTCAGCAGCAGAAAAACAGGCTTAAGTGATGTTGGCTCTTGCCCTCCCACCCCCTCAATTAGTTCAAGATCTGCTCTGCTCTGTTTTCCACAAATCAGCACATACCAAAATGTTTACCATTTGGCGGCATTAACCTAAGAAATATCAAAACTGGATTGCAATTGTTTCTGATCAGCTGAAGATGATAAAACATGGACTCTTGGTAATCACAGGAGACCAGACCCTTTACTGACTCCAACTGAAGACTCTTTCCTGATTAATAAGAGGATTGCTTTAATCAAATATGTACAGACCCACAGATTCATTCCATCCTATTCAGAATGCTAACTTTTTAGCTTTTATTAGCACAAATACCATAAAACTGCCTTTATAGTCCTTTAATATCACTGATATTTCTCTGCAAACTATTCAGTAAACGGTGTTTGTTTATTTTACTGGTTTACATCTTTTTTTAAATGGCTGACTGTAGATTTTTTTTAATTTTATTTTTTAAAATTTACATCCAAATTAGTTAGCATATAGTGCAATAATGATTTTAGGAGTAGATTCCTTACTGCCCTTTACCCATTTAGCCCATCCCCCCCTCCCACAACCCCTCCCATAACCCTCAGTTTGTTCTCCATATTTACGAGTCTCTTCTGTTTTGTCCCCCTCCCTGTTTTTATATTATTTTTGTTTCCCTTCCCTCATGTTCATCTGTTTTGTCTCTTAAAGTCCTTTCTGATTTGAGTGAAGTCATATGATATTTGTCTTTCTCTGACTAATTTCGCTTAGCATAATACCCTCCAGTTCCATCCACATAGTTGCAAATGGCAAGATTTCATTCTTTTTGATTGCCGAGTAATACTCCATTGTGTGTGTGTGTGTGTGTGTGTGTGTGTGTGTGTGTGTGTGTGTATACCCCACATCTTCTTAATCCATTCATCCACTGATGGACATTTGGGCTCTTTCCATACTTTGGCTATTGTTGATGGTGCTGCTATAAACATGGGGGTGCATGTGTCCCTTCGAAACAGCACACCTGTATCCCGTGGATAAATGCCTAGTAGTGCAATGGCTGGGTCATAGGGTAGTTCTATTTTTAGTTTTTTTGAGGAATCTCCATACTGTTTTCCAGAGTGGCTGCACCAGCTTGCATTCCCATTTACTGGTTTACATCTTTAGCTGACAATTAAATAAACTCAGAATTTTTTTTTCAGTAAGCTTTGTTTTATGACCTGACATTTGGGTTGTAAGAGTTGTTATTATTACCATTATTATTCACCATAATAAATAGCACTTGCAATAGGCCCAGTATTTCACTATATAGTGCTCTTCATGAAAATCAAATTTAATCCTATTATCATTTAATAGATAGGGAAACAGGTTTAGAGGAGTTAAGTAACTTATTCACAGTCATAGAGGAAGAAGAGACAAAACAGGGTTCAGGATGTCCTCTTAAACAAACTACAGATAACTCTGACTACTGAGCATACAAAGGTTTATATCCTACTAAATCTGTCCTTAAAGGAAAAGAATATCTTCTAAGCAAAAAACGACACTCTTGTTGGTTTGACTAGGTCTTTGAAGAACAGAAAAGAAGCCAATGAGAATTAAGCCCCTGACACAGCTGCAGTCTTGTGGTGGGAAAGCTAACCAAATCTGGCCTGTAGACTAAATCTGGGGGCTGTCTAGGGCTGCAAAGCTGCCACGCAGACATCCTGAGCAGGAGATTCACAGACACCCAGCCCACTGCACTGACTCTCTCAGGACAAAATGAGGGGTGGCTAGGTCATGCTGCTCCAGAGTGGCTACTGAACCCAGTCCTACCAGGACCCTCATCCATCCAAAAGGTAGTATTCCCTGGAGCCCAGAGAGCTCTGCCCTGAGATCAGGAATAGAAGTAGGGGTAGAAGGGGGTGCCTAAAGCCAATTCTCTCTCTTCCTTCTTTGTTTAACATTCCTAATAAGTAGGGTTGTTCACTTTAAAAAATAAAAAGGCCAGGGCACCTGGGTGGCTCAGTCGTTAAGCATCTGACTTCCACTCAGGTCATGATCTCATGGTTCAGAAGTTCAGGTCCCACATCAGGTGAGCACGAGCCTCGCTTTGGGTATAAATAAATAAATAAACAAAACCACGAGCTCCACTTCAGATGAGCCCACCTCTCTCTCTCCCTCTCTTTCTGCCCCTTGCTCACTTACATTCTCAAATAAATAAATAAATAAATAAATAAATAAATAAATAAATAAATCGGGGCGCCTGGGTGGCGCAGTCGGTTAAGCGTCCGACTTCAGCCAGGTCACGATCTCGCGGTCCGTGAGTTCGAGCCCCGCGTCAGGCTCTGGGCTGATGGCTCAGAGCCTGGAGCCTGTTTCCGATTCTGAGTCTCCCTCTCTCTCTGCCCCTCTCCCGTTCATGCTCTGTCTCTCTCTGTCCCCAAAAAATAAATAAACGTTGAAAAAAAAAAAACTTAAAAAAAAATAAATAAATAAATAAAATAGGAAGTACATAATGTTTAGAGTAAAACCCAAGTTCCTCAGAGGGACCTGCCAGGTTCCACATTCCCTGGTGACCTATGGCCTGACTCCATCTATTCTCCACCCTTCATTCACTCCATTGGAGGCACACTGACCTCTCCTCCTAAAGCCTTGCACTGGCTGGTTCCCATATCTGGAATACCTTTCTCCCTGACATATTGCTGGTATTTTCCAAGAACCTGGACCTGGACCTAACATTTAAGAGTTAAAATATTTTTGAATGAATAAGTGGTAACAGCAGAGTTAATTAAGAAAGAACTAAAAGGTTAGGCAGAAGACAGATAAGAGGTTGTCAACACTGTCAAAACCTAAGTCTCCTATTTTTTAAAAAAAGATTTTGGGGCGCCTGGGTGGCGCAGTCGGTTAAGCGTCCGACTTCAGCCAGGTCACGATCTCGCGGTCCGTGAGTTCGAGCCCTGCATCGGGCTCTGGGCTGATGGCTCAGAGCCTGGAGCCTGTTTCCCATTCTGTGTCTCCCTCTCTCTCTGCCCCTCCCCCGTTCATGCTCTGTCTCTCTCTGTCCCAAAAAATAAATAAACGTTGAAAAAAAAATTAA